TGACTCAGTGACACAATGAGTAGGCGACCGATTGGGCGATTTTCTGTCTAAAGTATTAGCATCTAAATATAGTGAAAGTACCAATAGTAAAAGTAGTCATTGTGAAGATTGGTCCATTTCAGCATAATATATATGATATGTGTTATAATGATTGATCATTAAAGTGTTATCAAAGCTGGTAAAGGTGCAGCTAGTTTGAATGACTTTGCACACAGGTGAGCAGACTGTATGCAGCTCGAATCATTTCTCCAGACTCTGTGTTTGCAAAAGGATATGGAAATATTTAGAGATGAAAGTCTGTTGGAAAAAAAATTCCATTCAAATATATTTTCAATACCTTCACTTGCATAGTTTGTGCAAACAATTAAACCATAGTAGAGTTGTTATTTATATTGATAAGCTAATAGTTTCAACAGAAATGTTTATTTCCAAAGGTTACATGACATTATATTTTAATGTCCCACATAGTACAAACACACTCTTTGTCCCAAATGTGACTTAGTCAGCCTATTGTTTATTGCCTCCATCAAAATGTTTACATCCTGTATGGAGAGTAGGGCTGCTCGATTATGGCAAAAATTATAATCAAAATTATTTTGGTCAATAATTGATATCACAATTATTAAAAACGATTATCCATTTACTTTGAAAACATCCATTTATTGAAAAAAAACAGATTACCCTGAACTTTAAGTATAATTAAACTGAAAACAAAATAAAAAATGTTTTATTTTTTGTTTTTTTAATAAAAAATAATGATCGTTTTATTTAGATTACGTTGTTTTCGTAATCGTTGCAAGCCAAAATCATAATCGAGATTAAAATATGATTAATTGCACAGCCCTAATGGAGAGCATGGTGTCCTGTGTATTTAATGTATGTGTCCCTCTCGGTTTCCGTAGCAACTGTCAGGCCTCTGGTACCACAACAGGACCAACCACCCTGACATGTTTGCTAACCACACCCGGCAGCTCAAGACTCTGTGCCAGTGTGACGTCTGCTTCAAGTTCTTCCCCAGCGCTGCCAGTGTGGCCAAACACCAGGCAGCAGAGCACCAGGGTGAGCACACACACACACACACACACACACACACACACACACACACACACACACACACACACACACACACACACACACACACACACACACACACAACACAGGCTCACATTATAATACACAAGATGCACCAAAGCTATTAAGCCTCAAGAAGAATCTGAGACATATTTTTCTACATCTCAATTTCATTTATGCTTCACAAATGCATCGTAGATGTTATCATAAACAGTCTGGTTCCTATTCACTGTGGTCAACATGGCATCAAGGAGGGATGAAGAACAGAGGAAACAACATCATACATTTAGTAGATATGAAATCTCAAATCTGTGAGAAAAGGAGACCCAAGAGGTCGTGAAAGTGATAGATGCTACCGTAAAAAAAAAACTTTTGGTGGAAATCCATTGATCAGACTTTTTAGCCTGATACAGATCCTTGATCCAATATGATAAATGATTCAAGTTTCCCCAATTTGAATTTCATTTGTCTGTGTGTAATGTGTAGGTGGAAAGAAAAAGGTTTGGTTCTTAAAATGATCTTCAGTTTTTGTATTATTCTCAGTTTGATCCTCTTGTAGATGTTGGATCACAGCATGGTCAAACCACATGGGTCTTTCTAGTGTCAGCTATGCAGATTCTCCTCACTATTGGATCCATCATCATGCTCTAACTGGAGAGAAGACAGCACATCACGTGTTGTGTTTGACAGCCTGTTTAGCGGCTAACAGCAGCTCCTTGTCTCCTCTCCTCCCTGACCCCGTGTTCTCCTCTCCTCCCTGACCCCGTGTTCTCCTCTCCTCCCTGACCCCGTGTTCTCCTCTCCCCCCTGACCCCGTGTTCTCCTCCCCCCTGACCCTGTGTTCTCCCCCCTGACCCTGTGTTCTCCTCCCTGACCCCGTGTTCTCCTCAGGCTCCACGGCTGCAATGCTCACCTGTCCCTACTGCCCTGCTGTGCTGGGGGGGGAGGAGGAGCTGCAGGAGCACCTCAGCAGCCAGCACTTGGAGGCCTCCAGCTGCCCCTTCTGCTCCCTGCTCTGCTGCTCCCAGCTGGAGCTGCAGGAGCACCTGCTCTCCTGCCACATGGAGGCTCAGGAGGAGCAGGGGGGGGAGGAGGAGCAGGAGTCCAGCTCCCACACTGTAAGCATCATTACATCAACAAAAGGACTTTTGAATATCAGGTCATGAGTTAAGTCATTTATAGATAGGGTTGGGAACCGATAAGAAAATGCCGTACAAAATCAGGGCTCGACATTAAGGGCTGCCCGATGGCCCGGGGCCATCTAGTATTTAGCTCGGGCAATGAAGCCTCACCTGCTGGTTGTCCGATCGGGAAATCTATTATGCCAGTGTCATGCAGCTTGCGGATCCAGTAATGAGTGACACGACAGTGAAACTAAACATATATATAACTAGTTACGGTAGTTTGAGAGGTAATTAAAATAGCTACGTGTGATATTCTAACCTGAAGTGTGTGTTTTGTCCGCTCACCGCTGCATGTGATCATGCAGAGCTGCGTGTCGACTCGTCAGCAGCAGCTGACTCTCTCTTCCGTCAGATTAGACTTCACTCGCGTTTATGTCCATATCGATCAGATCCAGCTAGTTCTAGCTAATGATATGACTACCTGCTTATTAAAAGACACCTAAACAATAAGCGTCGCTATGCAACTGGGTGAGGCCACACAGTATAGCGCAGCATTATGCATTTGTTTACATGCCCACCGGAACCCCGAGGCATTACCAACAGATCAACGCACAATCAACCCATATAGCACATCTCTTTCTCCACATTAAGTGTTAGACATAAGAATTGACTATTCTTGTCTGTCACATAAGTGGCGCAACTGAAGCGGCGCTAAAGGGAAATTATTTTGACCGAAGAGATTTAGATTTGCCGGCTAACGGGAACTCTGACGTCGCCATTTTGTGTGCTTCGCGGATGCGCTCGGCTCCTCTCGACTGCTGCTCGGGTCTGCTCGGTCAGCTTCCGGATGAGGAGGCATTCGTTCGACCAATTTACAGTAGATAACATTACAAACATTTTTAACAGGGGCCATAATAGTGTTAATGTTTGTTTTGGCAGTTACAACTGAATGTAATGTTTTCTACTTTTTTACATCTGGGAAGGCATTTGCCTTCATCAGATAGAAAGTGTCTTGACCAACAACTTAAGTATTTCTTATAGCTATGCAGGACTTGCAAGAGAGCAAACGCAAACAAGAACAAACAAACAAGTGAAATGAAGAATAACATTGAAATTGTACAATATAATATTGTGGTGGTTCATTTTATAATTCAGTCTAGAGAATGCACCAGACAGCATCTAAGGCCTGCAAAAATCTAAATGTTCTAGGGGGAGGCCCCCCAAACCCTTCGTGTGTCATTTAGTCCGCGCGCATCTTTCAGGGCAATCTCTATTGGGCTCAGGGCCATCTGTAAATTAGCTTTGATGGCCCACAGGGCCATCTCCCAAAATCCTTAATGTCATGCACTGATCAATATTCATTTCTTTGACGGCCAAACAATCATTGCGGTACTTACGAACTCTCGCGCTACGGTGTTAGCCATATGCTCTTCGAAAGAGATATATAGCAAACACACCCAATCATGTGACCTGACACACCTTAAATACCTGTGCCCTGGTTAATAGGACATAGACACCCTTTGGCACACACAGTAACAAAAACACACAATTGTTTCAGCTTAAACCAAAAGATGACCCTTAAATAAGTTGCAAAGTTAATTTGTGAAACAGCAATTGACAAAAAAGGTCTTACCAATTCATACCAAGGTATGCATTGCGCAAGTCCTCCCATTTATTTCAATGTAGAGTATACTGGCTCGTAACTGAGTATAAGTTGCTACAATAACAAAAGAAAATAATTGTTGGTGTCCTCCCCTCTGTTAACATGAGTCTATGATTGGATTTCAGCTTGTCAAAAGTGTTGAATGTTTCACCTGAAGCCAGCTGTATGTACAGTATTTCATGGTATTTTCCCTCTCTCTGCAGTATTTTCTGTAGCCGCCACCATTCCGTGCTGCAAGGCCGACCCCACAATGTCTTCCAATGGAGACCTCAGCGACCTGGGGAGCTCGGACAGCTTCTGGGAGGTACAGTATAAACACACGTGCACACTAATTTCTTACATCAAGAGAAAACTCAAGGAAAAATGAATTATTTAATTATGCTATAGACTGGTAGTGCTTGCTCACACATAATTGCTGCATTTTCATGTGGGTTTTATCAAAAGTTGCTTACATTTTGCCTCTTCAAATGCCAACAAGCTACCATGGTGTCAATGTGCTAACATGCTGGAAGCAATTTGGGGTTTAGTATCCTGCCCAAGGACGCTCCACATGTGGAGAGGGAGGAACTTGGGAAGATGAACTACCAACCCTGTGATTAATGGACGTCCCACTCTGGTGACCAAATTAGTTACTTACAACAGCAGTAATACAATCCTAAAATATTTGCTACTGGTCTGGAAACCTGGATAATCGTAGTCTTGTGTGTTGATGAGGCCATTGAGAGAGGAGCAGCCGGAGGTGGTGTTTAGATAGAGACACAGACACATAATGAGTCCCTACTGACTGACTGCCGGCTTACATCTGGAAAAACGACATACTTTCAACCTTACACTCACTCTGTATATCTTTCATCGCTGGTCTACTAAACATCCTGCCCTGTTGACATTTTGCCACACTAATGTGGTAACAAGCATCGAACTGACAGAGCAACAATGATTAGAATACACTACGAAACTTCTGTGTGTGTGTGTGTGTGTGTGTGTGTGTGTGTGTGTGTGTGTGTGTGTGTGTGTGTGTGTGTGTGTGTTTCCTGTGCAGCCGGGAAACTACAAGAGGACGGTGAAGCGGATAGACGATGGCCACCGGCTGTGTAATGAGATGGTCAGCTGCTTCCAGGAGAGAGCGAAGATAGAGAAGGGTTACGCTCTGCAGCTGAGCGACTGGGCCAAGAGGTGGAGGGGCGTCGTGGAGAAAGGTGAGCGGAAATCACCCATCAGTAAGGGATGCAGAAGAAATTGAAAAGTTATACCTAAAACTACTTTGATATTTTACCTTTGGTGTGTTTGATTTATTTCACTACCAAGGGTTGCAAACAATTGATTTGTTCTAACTGCAAAGTGTCAGCTTTTGCTGCAACTAATCAATGAATTGAGGCACATTTTTACATGAGAATATTTTTTTTTAAGGAAAGATTGTATCTATGCTTATTTTAAGTTCAAATGTGGAAAAGTACTACTTTTAACAAAAATATGAACATTATGTAAACATAAATTAGTTAGGTTTTAGCTAAACTGATTCACAGGAAGTGTTTTTAACATTGGCTAAAACCAAATCAGGGGCTTCACCAAAATCTGACCCAACCAACAAGGATGATTGTTTTCGTTATATTTTTAGTTTGAAGCTAAATGAGATGATGAGTGTGTCTCCTCTCCCCACTCTTGCCCCTCAGGTCCTCAGTATGGGACGCTGGAGAAAGCGTGGCACGCCTTTATGCAGGCGGCCGACCGGCTAAGTGAGCTGCACCTGGAGCTACGGGAGCGCCTGGTGGCAGAGGACAGCGAGATGGTGCGCAACTGGCAGAAGGACGCCTACCACAAGCAGATGATAGGAGGCTTCAGGGAGACCAAGGACGCAGACGACGGCTTCCGCAAAGCACAGAAACCCTGGGTCCGAAAACTGAAGGAGGTGAGCGTTGTCTATCGGTTGTAAGTAAAGCGAGATTTAAAGACTCAGTGGTAATTCCCACCTTGCCCACCTTCTTTAATTTACTCTGTGAAACAGGGTTGACTGTGAGCTACAATTATACATGTATAGTAATGTAATGTGGTTTGCATTGTAATTGTGTTGTTGACTTCTAACTATAAAGAAGAAGACTACTGACGGTCTTTCCTTAAAGGGGCCCTTATATGCTCAATTTCAGGTTCATATTTGTTTCTCTAATCTGTAAAGTTTCCATGCTTTAATGTTAAAAATCTGTCTAATATTTCACGCTCTTTCTGAAACCACAGCCCAGTCTGATTGAGGCTAGCCAACAGAAGCACAAGTGTTAGATAGTGATGTCATTATGTTACCGAATTAAACAAAGGAGTCCAATGGAGGCGTTTCAAGAAACTCCTCTGGAGACAACTTTGTGATTTTAGCATGTGTAGACCATACACAGAAACCTACAGAACACACTTCAGTAAAGGGTAAACCCAAAAAGCATAATAGGGCCCCTTTTTAATATGTTAATGTCATCACCAGCATCAACAATATGTATGGGAAAAACACAAGCAGCCAATCACAGTTCTTGCAGAAGCATTGCCCCCATGAAGGTTAAATTTTTCAATGTTACACTTGCAGGTAATAAACACAATTGTGTTGTTGGTAGCTCAAGTGCTGAACCTTTCCTTACCATTAACACATACAATTGCTCTTAATGTGTCATTTCAAAAATATATTTAATGTGTGTGTGTGTGTGTGTGTGTGTGTGTGTGTGTGTGTGTGTGTGTGTGTGTGTGTGTGTGTGTGTGTGTAGGTGGAGGCCAGTAAGAAGGGATACAATCAGGCCAGGAAGGAGGAGTGGACGGCGGTTACCAGGGAAACGCACGCCAAGGCCGACCCGACCAAGTCGCAGGAGGAAGTTCGCAAATTCACGATCCGGGTGGAGCGCTGCAACGAGGAGGCAGAGAAAGTAAACAGCACAAACACATTCATACAAGGAGTCCCATGCGTAGCTCCACTAGCACGAGTCTGGGTGTGTCAGAGTCCAGAAAAAAACATACCTGTGTGTTTTTGAGTTTTAAAACAAGACTGGGCTTGTCTCTACTGTTCGCTGTTTTGCAAAAATACACAACAGAAGAGGAAAAGCTCAGGTCCTGAAGAGGGAAACTCAGAACTGGGAAATGCTAAGACAAAATGCACGACAAGGAAATTAAATCCAATATCATGACAAAGTTTGGGAAAAAGAGACCTGAAAAAGCACTTTGTACCTAACTCCATTCAGGAGTCGCATAACCAGTCTGCATTCCACAAACATCAGAGCACCTCTTCAGCTCTATTGTTCTCCTTTGTGTTCAGAGGGGACCGCATAGTATTTCTGTTGATGTTTGATTTTGTTTTTCATCAATCAAAACTTCAACTCAGTGTTAACTTACTGCTAATCTGGCATACCGGATGTTGACTGTGCATACTGCTATTTAGATTTCTCATAACCCTTTGCTATAGCATGTGTGTTACTATTTACTGTAGCTATGTGAAACAACAACCTCAGTTTGCAAAAAGTGTCCCTATCCTTTTCTGCCTCTTTCATACTTGACAGAAAGCAATAAATATAACATATTATTACTATCTTTAGTATTTTCTTTTGAAAGGAGATGTACATGCTATACTTCAATAGCTCAATTGCATTCCTAAAGCCCACTTACACAAATAAAAATGTGCCTTAAACTGCTTTTCAATCTTTATATCATACTAGAACATCTCTTTTAACACCCGTGATTTGGTTAGGGAGAAACTTCCCAAACTGACCATCTAACAAAGGAAGAGCACCAGAGGAGGGACCCTCATGCAGGGCGGACAGAAATGCAGCATTCATGTGATTGTGAGAGGGTTTGATTCTAGTATTATAACAGTTACTGGTACACATTTTGTTTATCTTTATTAAACTTTGAGGAAAAGTAACTGCTAAATACTGAGATATTAAATCATGTGGTTTAATATCCCTCTAATATCCACTAATATACCCACTAATATAATATCCCACATCAGCACCTGTTGGCTGGATCATTAAATACAGTAGACTTGGCTGGGGCTGCAATCTTTTTATATGTTTATTCGTCATTCTTCAGGTTGTCAGAGTGTTGCACATTAGCTGAGTGTGTGCTTTGTGTGTTTTGCAGGTGAAGGAGCGCTACACGAAGGCCCTGGAGGAGCTGAACCGCTGTAACCCTCGCTACATGGAGGACATGGAGCAGGTGTTCGACCTTACCCAGGAGGCCGAGCGTAAGAGGCTGTGCTTCTTTAAAAACGTCCTCCTGGACATCCACACACACCTCGACCTGTCCACCAAAGAAGGGTAAGACTCACACATATTTACATACATACTTTTCCATCAGGAGAGAGAAGTGATTAGCTATTTCATTATCAATGACTCAGAACGAAGGCATTGGCAATGTGTTTGTCCAAACTTGGGTCTACGGTATGTACACAGGAGTTAATAGAAAACTCAGGGTGTTGTCCATTAACTATTGACCTCTTGTTCTATTTAAACAAGCCACTGTTTCCACAGTACCCACGATTGGTAAAGTACATGATCTTTGTCCAAATATTGAACAAAAACGTATTTAATTAAGTCTTTGGAGTAAAGATAGTTTAAAGTAACAAGATCTAAAGTCCATCAACTGTGAAGCATACCTTAAGTGGGAATGCTGCTCCTAGAAAGGTTGGATGTATATTATAAGATGCAGGTTTTTCCTTCATATCATCTCTTGATAGTAACAAATCAGCACAGAGCTGATAATGCAGACAAAAAATATGCACAAACAAAAGTCTTATCTGGAATTCCACCTTTTTAAATGGAGGCTTCAGGAAGTCTCAGCCCGCAGAGTACACAGTGGCATCAGTACATCTAACATAAAGTGTATGAGCACTGTTAAGAGCAGGAAATTACGAATAGCAGGAGCAGTTAGAGACTAGCTGGTGAACTTATTGGAGAATTTAGCAGCTAAAGGGACACATATTTAGCCTCAGGAGTTGGTGGGAACCAAAAACGGAGCTAAAAGTGAGGACTATTGGACTAACGTTCATCAGATGGACACAAACAAGACTGGACATTAATTAGAAACTTGCACCGTGTCGGTCTAATGTGTAAACGACCATTTGTTTGCCAACACATAAGAACTTCATAGTGGGATAGTCAATGTTGTGTTCACAGCTGGTTATTTAACCTAATAACACGGCAGGCCCGATGATGAGGCTGACCTTTTCTCCACCAGTGGCTCTGCCCTGTGTTTTCAGATACATCACAGAGTTGCTTTAAAACTGCAATTATTGTTTTTCAGAAAGAGCGCAACGCTGTCGTTTCCTCACCTTTAACGTTGATCCAGTGAACTTGATAGCAGTTGCTTCCATCCACATGATCCTTTATTACGAACCTTTGTGTCCACCGGCTAAATGCTATTCACAATTGTTCTCTCTTTTTAGCTCTGATTTTGGTTTCTACCAACTCCTAATGAACCATTCCTTGAGTTGTTAAATGATCTACTTTGTTATCCGTCTTTTCTGCTCAGCCTCCTGTTGAGCGGATACTTTAAAGTTGCCAGCTGCAGCCTAAAACCTTTAAAGCTCCTAAAAGCCAAGGGGCGATACAGTTTCATGTTATCATTCTCTGCAGGTTCATGACTGCAATACATCTTTTCCCTTTGTCGCATTGTTTCACTGTGTCATTATACAAAAATACATTTTATTCACTGATAATTCATCAGAGGACCAGCATGTTAACAGAGGAACATTACATCTATAGATAGAATCAATAGAAACCTTATTTTAAAATTAGCAACACAAAAGAACAAAGATTGAAAAAACTGGATAATCTTCAAACAAGAGGGATTTAAATGTGAATTTAAAGTCAACAATGACCTATTTTTTAAGGCAGAAGAGGAGGGGGAGGGGTACAGTAGATGTGACGATTGACAGTCACTTTGTCCAATAGGTTCAACGCTCTCTACCGGGACCTTGGTCAGACCATCCAAGTAGCCAATGACACGGAAGATCTTAGATGGTGGAGGAACACCCACGGGCCGGGAATGAGCATGAACTGGCCCCAGTTTGAGGTACGGACACACACACACACACACACACACACACACACACACACACACACACACACACACACACACACACACACACACACACACACACACACACACACACACAGTAAATACACACTTTTTTCACAGTAGTAAAGTGTGGCAGACTGAATATTAAACAGGCTGCCAGTGAAAGCCTTGTTGTGTGACTGAGAGCTCAGAGTGGGGTCAGGAATGTCTGAACACACACGCACACACACACACAGGTTTATCTAGTTATTTGTGGAAATGTACAGATTCCACTTTTACTCTGCAGGCCACTAAGGACAAGCAAACATTTACAGGGATGACAAACAAATAATAGTTGTTTTTTCTCACAGTTATTCTACATTTTGAGATGACATGCCCTGCTATATTGAAAAAAGAACAATGGCAGTAAATATCAGGTCTTTCATAAATCAGACTCTTCATTTCCTGAGAGGTTTTATTAATTCAGCCTGAGGATGATAGATTGTAATCTGCAGCACACAGGTATTTCCACACCCTCTTTATACTCCACACACTGTTCCAGGTTCACAATAAAGGAATTTACTATTGTGCTATTTAGACCCAATTTTCCTCTCATAATAGAGATACAATCATGTATGTGTGTGTGCTGTTTCAGACCGTTTCCTCAAATTTCAAATCATACAAAAGACTTGACATATAACACTCAGAAATGCATGCGCAAAGCCCCCACCTTTTTTTGTTAACGTTGGTGTGTATGTGGAAATCCCCCTTCGATTCTATTGGCTCTAACGGTCAAAAAGAGATGTCAATCACCAAAATCGACCAATGGGTTCCAGAGAAACGGTAAAAACGCCCATTTCCACCCAAATCACCTCAGAGGTGGAGTTTGTTTTGCTAAACCTCTCTAAAAAGGTCAAATATCACTTGTTTTGCATCAATCTTGATACAGGGTACTTATTATATGTTTTACTTTGGATTCCTAAAGCTTTTAGTCTAGCTTACCATCATCCAAAGTTAGTTTTCACTATAAGTAAAAAAGAATTTTTGGACGGACAATATAATGTACAGTTTTTTACTATGTTCAATCGGAATTTTCTTTAAAATAAAAACATCTATATTTATTCTGACTCTTCTACATCCAACTCACAGGTTTATCATTACTTTGAGAAAAAAGATTATTAATGTAACCCTTTTTAGAAGGGAAGATATGGTCATTTGTTCTGGGAATGTCATTTTCGAGCCTGAGACCTGAAAAACAGGCTCAGTGCTTAACTGGTCAAAGGATTTGAATATAATGTTCTTAAGAAATCTTATGAATTCAGAACTGGTTTTGATACCCAATCCTATTTACATGGGTAACAATTTATGTCCGACATTAAAGGGGCCCACCTCTTTTCACCCTCTGTCTGAAACCAGGGCCCAGTCTGCTCTGATTGGTCAGCTGTCTGGCTCTGTTGTGATTGGTCTACCGCTTATATCTGTCCTGCCCCTTAGTCTATCACGTACAATGTGTTGGAGCGCTAGCCAGTAGAAGCGCAAGTGTATGGAGGTGTTTCTGGGGGGGGGAGAGAAACTCCCTCTTGAGGGAAGATGGGGATTTTACCCTTTGCTGACCATTTACGCACACAAAAAAACCAACACACTACAGGAAAGGGAAATCCCAAAGAAGCATAATACGGCCCCTTTAAATTCATAATACACACTATGTTTGTAGTTGTAAATTCAGTTTACAGCACAAAAAGCCTAAAGTATAACCCAGCTGTTTTTGTTATGAAGTCAGGTGACAGGTTGGTAGTTATTTAGTTTAAGATAAGGATCTAGAATTTAAAAAGTGTGTTAAGCGTTCGACAGATTGTTTAAATTACGGGGGAACATTTGAATCGTCTTCATTCCTGAGAAGGACTTGACTTTTGTTCATATTTTAGAATCTTTGATGAAATGAGTGAACAATATTTATCTTACCCAGTTCTTCCGGAATGGAAAAATAAGGGCATAGTGAGATGTTGGCAGAAAGTAGAGAATCTCTTCTGTCCTCTGTGGAATCTCCTGGCGTTCCCACAGCGCCGCTGACACACAGACAGAGAGCCATTGTCCTAACACACACAAACTGTTTCTGTACTTGTGAGGACTTTCTGTTGACTATATTCATTCAGAGGTCCGACCTCCTCTGCGGCAAAGTTACACTTAAAAGTGACTTTGAAGAGAGAGTAGCAGTAAAATGAAATCTATAATCGAGATTTGTCAGGGGTACACACTGAGCATGTGTGTTTTTTAATTCTACATTTGTGAGGACTTTTGTTCCACACACACACACACGCACACGCACACACACACACCTCCTGTAGAGCTGATAGTCTGGAGGTTGTTCTGAGCTCCACTGAGACTGTAAATACCGGTAACCGTATCCTACTTCTGTCAGCAGCATGTCATTACGGCCAGAGTGTGTCTGTGTGTGTTTTTGTCTGGCTGCCATCGAAAAGAGTCCATTGATTCTGCTACAGGATAGAAATGAACATTATTTTGCCTCAAAGACAGAAAACAAAGGTACTTTTTCGTATAAGAGACTTATCTTGTAACAGCAGGTGTTTCTGTTAAGTTGTCACTGTACTAAATAAGTTGTAATTTTGTATTTATTATCATTATCCAATAATAATCTTACAAGTGAATCATTATTTTCTTGATTCTAGATTAGCTGAAGTTTACCAAGAGATTAAACTGGAAATCTTCCAAATGGACAGACAATTTATTGAAACTGCCGATACAACTTTATAAAAGTTAGCTGTGAGCTAGCCACCAAACAAGTTCAGAAGGAAATATTTTTCTTTCTTATTAATAATAATGTATTTAATTTATATAGCGCTTTTCGGGACACACAAATACGCTTTAAGTCACATTTAACAAGCTCAGATGTACAAGAAAAACATAAATTGTAACATTCAGATTGGCAGAGTTATGGCATGGGAGTTGGGGGTTCCAAGGAGAAGCAAGAGGTGGGTTTTGAGGTCTTGTTTGAAGGATAATAGGGTAGTTGATTGTCTGATGTGTATAGGGGGGGCGTTCCAAAGCGATGGTGGCAGCAGAGAAGACCTTGTCACCCAGATCTGGAGCTGAGTCCTGGGGGTCTTTAGGGTGCTTGCATCTCCGGACCTCAGGCAACAGGTGGGGATGTGGAGGAGGTCAGGGAGATAGGAAGGGGCCTACAATCTTATTATTGTCCCCATACAATAAAGTAGCACTAGATTCATCAAGACCCAAGCGCACATTTTTTATCTCAGGTTTCTATATTCTCAACTCGCTCAGTTGCACTTATTTAGTAAATATAGATTCTTATGTTTGTATTAAGACATCACAAGGTGTAAAAGTGAAGCTCAATCCCAAACCACTCCCTCGACCCTACCCCTCCGTGACGGAGTGAACTCCGTCTGTAGCCACACTCGCAGCTCAACGAGGCTCCCTCCTGTCAGATGGAGGGAGTAAATACCGCAGCAAGCTTTGGGACGACCTCCCCTCTCTCTGCAGAAACAGGAAATGCTGTAACTGTATGTAACAACGGTTTCAAATCAGCATCTCTTAGACAAAAAATGTAAATTAATAACTCAAATAAAACTCAAAAACATATTTCATTGTGTTACTTTTTTGTAAAGCTCTTTTAGTTTTAAACCTGATGTTTATAAGCTTCTTAGTTTTTGCAACAGTCTTTAAATATACACAACTTTTTAATAAAATGCACACATTTACCTTTTTCTAGACTAAACACAGGTATGATCCTAAGTTAAAACATATGAGGTTATCATGAGGTTGTTAACATCGCAGTTTATCAGTGGATGTTTGCTGGAACTACTTGTAAACAGCGTGTTTCCTGACGGACACACACAGTGTGACTCTGGTCAGGTAGAGACCGGTCTCAAGTCAGCACCGCTGCAGACTCGCTGTTTGAGGGCTTGATAGCCCACTCCCCCTCCACACCGCTCCACACTCGTTGGTTTGGAACAGCCGTCAATATGGCGGACCCTCCGCGTGAACGCGCAAACGGAGGGGTAGGGTGTAGCGGGCGGTTTGGGAATGGGCCTTCGCGTCCTTAAAATCCCCACAATGCTTTGCGCACGGACCAATTTCAAAAACCCTTGCGGAGAATGGCTGAACCGATGCAGCAGTCGGTACAGTTTATGTTGAAACCATTATAGAGAGTGGCACACTTGTTAACCTGTTCCATTCTTCTTCGTTTTCCGAAGCCGTGGCTTGGAAGCATACTTGCTTCGTTTCTGAAGGAAGTGACTTGGAAGTACGCGACTACCAAGCCAGCATCCTCGAGATTGAGAAACGGCCAGTATCATTACATTTTAATGTTCCTCTTGGATGTTCTTCTTGACCCTCAGAGAAGGAGAAAATGTTGAGTTGTGTCTTTCAGGCATGTCCTTTCCTGACAAAAATTACAGGAAACATAAAACATATTATTGCAGAACAAGTGTGTTACTTATGAAAGCGGTGTGTTTGTGTGTTTAGGGGCTGTAGATATAATTGTTTTGTAATTGTAATGTTTTTTCTTTATTTCAACAGTGAACTATAAAGACAATCAGATTATGAATGAACAGTGTGAAGTTCATCAACATTGAAATATATTTTATTATCAAAATAATATTTAAATGTTATCAAAACGTAGTGCAACTGTAGAAGCTTGCTCTGTTGTCTCACTGAAAGAATAACTTTTACCACGTTTTTTTCAGACAATATTGAGAGATAAATAGTAGCAGTTCTCACTATGTGTTAAATATCTTTGCCTTCAATACATTAAATTAGAAAGCTGACAAAATCATATTGCTTGTTAACATCTAAATGTAACTTTTTGAATGGAAAAACCCCTCAACTTAACTGATGTGTCAATACTTCATTCATTTAAACCAATATATTTCTTGATTCTTTGTACAGTGGGACAAAAAAAGTCTTTATACCTGTGCTGAAGTTCACTGCTGTGAGGAGTCCAGTTCTGTCTCTCATTCTCTGGTCCAGCCTGTCTGCATCACCTGGAAACTTTAAACAAACAGATATATATGTAAAGTACCATGTGTACAAACAATATCACTTATTCTCTTCTGTTGAACAAGGATTTTGTATTGTCCGAGTCAGGGTCCTTTTTATTTTACTGTAACTTTGGAAGTTGTGTTACCAATGCGTACTGTTTATTTGATACCAATTTGGTAATGCAATTAATAAAAACAACAAGGTTTGGGTTTGTTCTTCAGATGACTGTGACGTTAACGTGTAAGCTCAATAATGAACTCCAGCTCAACCAACCATATTGTAATATCTAAGTAATCATCTTGAAATATGACATTAATAATTGTAATATACACACATCTTATTGTGAGGTTGATTTCACATACACTACTTCGACATTAGCTTACTTGAGCATAGCCAATTTAAATTAACCTCAGCGATGCATACAGTTCCTACCTACATTATGAAATATCTCTCTAAGTTACAAGGATGACCTTATTTTACCAACCTCAAACAGAAGCTGTTTGTTCTACAGTATTATCCCACTTAACGCTTAACACTTGTCTATTTCGTTTTAACCTTTATATATACAGGTCTATGGTTTTAACTTGGGAGGCTACGATTAGCATCGTTAGCACCGATGTAGCTACACTCGCTTACACGCTACCAAGCCTTAAACATTCATTACGTACGTACACACATAAATAAAGTACTCAAATTTGACTTGCCGCAAAACCGCATTCATGCACCGTCTGTTTTAACGAGTCACCAATAAGTCCGATATAAGTGTACACAGTGTAAATAATAACAATGTTTTGTTTTATTTACACTCCTGTTAAACTGGGACTCCAGCCATAGTGTTTTTTCATTTTATTTTATTTGAAAAGCGCAGCCGGATAGCTAGTGTTGCGCTGAATGTGGCTGTATTTTGGGAATCCGTCAGTGTTACGAGGATCTTTAGCTTTGGTGGTGTTGTTGCTCTGTTCACTCAGTTTGTAAATAATAATGAATAATTGTGATCTTACGTGTACTATTCTGTGTATAATCTATTGCATTTATTGGTTATCATATTTTTATGTTTACGTTAATGTCTTTGATTCCTAGTAGTGATCACTTTTTAAATATTGTACATAAACTGAGAGTGAGCGTTTTTCCAGCTAACTAGTTAGGCCGCTAACGTCTTGGAGTGCATGTGGCTTTTACGTCACTGATGTGACAACTTTCTTCTTGCTGTAGACGCAACATCTTCACTGTAACTGGTGGCTAAACTGTGGATCTTGTGTGTCTATTCCATGGTTTGCAGGTATGTTTATTTGAGCTGTTTAATTTTTTTTATTGAAGTACTGTTCATCTAAGTAATTTGATTAATCTTTATTGTACCATTACAAACTAAATTGTTTTATGTGTTTGTAATAAATGTTATTGGGTTTCGTTCTTTATATTTGTATTTAGAATCCTTTTTCTCTTAACACAATGACTCACCCACTATTACGATCACTGTAAGAGTGTTAGAGGATATCTTAGCTTTG